CCATCAATGAACCAACAAAAGCATAAATGGACACCTCTTTGGGCTACAGTGACAACATACATGCAGTGACACTATGGGCTGCTCTCAAAGTGGCAGGGAGGTGGGAATCCAGGTTGGAGAACATGTGTAGAGAGGGAGCTACGAAATTCACAGGAAATGGGTTTGTCCTCTACACCTGATAAGCCAGTCCTCTCTCTTGGCTCTGGCTAAGATGGAAGTTTTGGCCCCTGGACTGTGTCATCCTACGGGATGCTCCCAGAACTGAGCTAGGCAGCACAGAGAACGGGCCCCAAAGCCTCCTCCAAGAGGATGCTCCACAAATATGTGTTGACCACATGAGTGAGTGAATAAAGCCTGCTTCAAAATAGTACTATCATATATTCTCTCATTTGATTCTCTAAAAAACAAAACCATAAGACCGACGATGTAATCAGTACTGAGTTCATTTCACAGTTGTGACTATCTGAGAGATTAAGGGATTTGTCCAAAGCTACATGAACTCTTCAGTGGTAGAGTTAAGACTTAAAAGATCCTGGGTTTAAGTTTTATGTTTTTTTCCATTACACCAGTTTGGCTCTTCATTTCACTCCTGGGTTAAATCATGTTACAAAGGGCCCCTGTCTCCTTCTGACCTTTCCTCAAAGGCACAGAGTCATGGAGACAGCTGCTGAAGGGGAACTCCTACCTCTTCTGTCAGCTGCCTTGCCTCTGATCTCTGATACCAGAGAAAGATCACTCTGACTGGCCTTAGGGCCTAAAGACCTTAAGAAGGGGTTATGGATCCGCTCATAACTAAACCAGCACCAGCTTAAGACTTCACATTAGCCAGTGTGAAGTCATAGAGCCAATTATGTATCTTCCCAGAAAGAGAACATCCACTCAGTTACTGCCTATTTCCAAGTACGAGTAGGACCTGGGGATGATAGGATAGCTGGAAGAATTAATTTAAAAGATAGGGATAAAGAAAAAAAGAAATTAGGAGTTTATCTGAATGGTAGATAACTGCGGTAAGGGACAGAAAACAGCTTTCCCGTGGCATGCGGCTCTGAACTGGTCATGATTACTTGCTATGCTGTATGGAGAATGATGCTAAGGCCGTCTTGGGGGCCAGAACAAGGAATGAGGTATCCATGGTTGACGTCTGCTTTTGGTTCAGGTGCATAGAGTGGGAACCTCAGAGCTATGTGGAATGGTGGGCCTCTGGGTGTCAAGCTTGTGAAAAGACAGGCAAGAAGAAGAAAGGAGATCAAAGTAAAAACATTTCAAAAGAATTAGACAAGATGGTCTGAAGTGACGCATTAGCAACAAGAGAGATTCACCCCAAGGAAAGCTTAAGTGAAACAGGAAAAAATACTTCTCCACAGAGGAGAGCAGGAAGGACAGCAGGTGTCCACATGAGCAGGACCAGTCAGAGGAGAGGGTGGGAGCACACCACTGAGGCTTCATGTGGCTCCATTTTACCTCATGCCACCAGGCAGGGGTGGAGTTCAAGTGCACCCCCTGGCATCAGAGTGAAAGTGGTCTAGACCAGGAAAGCTCTGCTGGCAGCCTCCTCCACATCCCTGAATCCTCAAGCCAGGTTCCAGCCCCATCACAGGAAGCCCCCAGTGATCTCTAGGAGTTCACTAAGACACAGGAGGCAGCATCCTTCCAGGAAGGTCAAACAGCACATGCTCTGTCTGAGGACAAATGTTTGAATGCACACAGGAGAGATCGAAGGAGAGGAGGAGAAGGAAGCCTGAAACACCAAGTGCAGGTGTGCATGTGTGTGTGTGTGCCTGCCAGCACGCCGCTGCCCGCCTCGCCTCTGAATGCAGACCGTGCCTCCTGTAATCCCTTCTCCGGCTCAGCCTCCCTTGCACACAAGCCAACTGGCAAAACACAGCCCCCATTCTGCTCAGGAATGTGCTTTCGGAAACTTAATCTAGCTGCTGAGTCTGGGCCAAATCCCCCATGGCACTAACCCAAAGACAGTACCCCTTTCTCCCACGTTCCCGCCACCCCGTCCCTGCCTCCTCCAAGTCTGGGAGGCTGTAGTTCCAGTTCACCAACTCCCTGTGTCCCAGGACACAGACCCTGCAGGCCTGCTCTCCATTTCCAGCACTTCTCCATCCATCTTCTGGTCAGGCCCAAACATTTCCCTTCTGATTCATGTCTAAGTGACATGCCAATAGCTCTTGGCTTTCAAACAAGACTCGCCTCGGCTTCTGCACAAGCCCCTTCTTCTCTCACTGTGCCTCCTTGGGTTGCAACCAAACCCTTCCCTTTGTCCTCACTGCCAACTGCAGATCCCTTCAAGCACCAGAGAAACAGGGGCCAGGAATTTTTTAAAAATAAAGGCTATAAATTGTCTCTCCTCACACAGTTTCACCTTGAAGTAGGAGTGCTCCAAAATAAATCATCTACTCTCCAGCTCTCCCTTCCTCCAACCAGTGAAAGGTGCAGCCTAGCTCCTGAGTGGGTCAAGTCATAGTCTCCTGGATCTTCACAGACAAGGGCTGACTATCTGCAGGGTAGCAAACCTCCTAGAGGAGCAGTGGCCCCCTTCAAAGGCACAAACATTGCTAAAAAGCTCCTCTTATTTGTAAAAATGAACAACTGGCAAGGACCTGCTTGCTCAGCACTAGGAGAAGGGTGCAGTACATTAGAGTGGAGTCACTCTGGGATGTTCCAGGGCCATGCACAACTGTGCCTCTGCTCTGGTGGGTGACAGAAGACAGATGAACTAGGAGCCTGCTGAGGTGGTTACACAGAATGTACATGTGAAAAACACATGAAAGTGTTTACTTGAGATTAGTGCACTTTGTGTACTTTACTGGATGCACCTTATACTCAACAAAAAATGTAAATATGGTCATACGGCCAATGGAAAATGCTTGTCCTACAATGTCGAAGGGGAGAGACTAAAGATAGTAACTATCTTCAGTGCTGTAAAAATACGGGTACAGATGGAGGCTAGAAGGGTACGCTTTAAAATGATGATGGTGGCTTTGCGAGGATGGTGAGGAGACATTTTCTTTCTCCTCTAAACTTTCTATGTGTCCATTTTAATTATCATGAAAAGATATACAAGAGAAGTATGATGGTAAGAAGCGTAGCTCTGACCTCAGCCCCTCTTCTATGACAAGATGATCCCTCCCCACCTTCTCACCCTTGTGAAAGCACCCTCCCTGAGCTCACCAGCACAGCTGGGGGCCCAGGGCCTGCCTCCCTCACTGAACCCTGACTGTAATCCAAACTCTTAGCCTGCTCTCTAGAGGTCTGGCGCTCAGGGTCAGTCAGTACTGCTGCAGCCACAAAGGAAAAGTAGCTCCCACTGTGTGGGGGGCTCTAAGATGCAGCCCCCCCTCAGCCTTGCCCCCAGGAGGATAGCTGGGGACCCTCTGCCTTCCTCCCTCCCTCCTCTGAGCAGAGGGCAGGGCTGCTAGACTGCTTCCCAAGAAAACAGGCACACTGTGGCAGCCTCTGTTCTACTCTCTGTTCTCCAACGGACTAAAGGCCAGAGGCATCTGGAAACCAGAGGCAATGACGGGTCTTTATTCCCCCTGCTTTTCTACTTTCCCAGCTCTCACCACTCTCCTCCAGGACTCACGCCTCACACTTCAGGGAGCCCAGCTGACTTTCAGGAGCGTTTTATAAGTTTCCTGCCTCTAGTATGACTCATAACATAGGGACCCCCAACCTCCCAGAACTACAACATCAACAAGGGAGATGATGATGGTGATATGGAGATAGGGTGTCTGGGACAAGGGGCACTGCTGAGTCATGAGGGGACATAGACCTCAAAGAGTAAGTCCAAACACCATTAAACTCTCAACAAGGGTCCCTGTTCCCTACACTTCAGCCAACAGAGAAAGTGAAAGTGTTAGTCTTTCAGTTGTTTCCGACTCTGTGTGACTCCATGAATTGTAGCCCCCTAGGCTCCTCTGTCCATGGGATTCTCCGGGCAATAATACTGGAGTGGGTTGCCATTTCCTTCTCCAGAGGATCTTCCTGACCCATGGATCAAACCAGAATCTCCTGCATTTCAGGCAGACTCTTTACCAACTGGGCCAGCAGGGAAGGGGAAGTAATTCTTAATACTGTTGGCTCTTGAACAGCATGGGTTTGAACTGCATGGGTCCACTTGGCCATGGGTCTCTTCCCATAATAAATACTACAGTATCACATGACCAGAGGTTGGTTGGACCTCAGATGCAGAGGACCCCTTATGAGTTATATGTAGAGTCTCAACTGACCAGAGGGTCAGCAACCCTTACCCTGTATTGTTCAAGGGCTAAATGTTTCCTGGCCATAGACTCAGCATATAAGAACAGGTGTTGGGGCTGCTCTGTAGCCTTTGGGAGTTTATTTAATCAGCCAACTCATTTCCCATGGCAAATCAGGTAATGTGTGCACTGAGCTTGGGCACAACAGTATATCCAAGTGGCAATTAAATGGAAAGGTAGTAAGAAGACTTCTGGCATCCTCTTTGGACCAACAGTCTCATCTCTTCCTCTTTCCCTCTTTATCACACAGTTGCCTTTTCATTGTGTTCTGCTGTTTCTATTCCAGGCATTTGGAATAGGCCTGCCCCTCTGAGATACAGGAGGCCAAGAGGAAATGGGCAGTATCTGTTCAGACCACACGTAGCCCTGTATATGCTCTGACTGCAACTGCTGTGAGGACAGAGTGGGCGGGGGTGGGGGGACGGGCAGCAAAGAGCTGGCACCACTCCATCTAAGACCACAGAGTGACCAAGTAGAAAGGCATGGCATGGCCCAGCTCTGGGGCCCACAGAAACAGGTCAGCCATGTCAAGGGATAGACACTCACTCCTGGTATGGCCCCTACCCATAGGGCACAAAGGTCCCCCAGACACTGGAGATTACTGGGCAGCACTGCTGTCTGATGAGAAAGGTCAGCTGGTAAGGCCCCTTTTATGATAAGGCTAACAGGGGGATGTTGATTGGGATGGGGAAGAGAGAAAGAGTAGGAGGTGGGCAGAGGAGCAGAACTCACTGGCTAGTGTCACGGTGGCTGGTACGCTGGCCACGGCCCCTGCAGGCATCCGGGCCACACACTGGTAACGGCCCACAGTGTGGTTGTTGAGGGCAGTGATGACGAGGGTCCCGCGGGTGATGAGGATGCCCAGGGTGTCATCTGAGCCGTTCAGCTCCTTCCCGTTCAGGCGCCAGGTGGTGGTCATCCAGGGGGGCTTCACCACGCAGCCCAGGATCACCGTTCCTCCGAGCTTCTGGACAGTGGAAGAAGGCTGGACAGTGACCTGAGGAACCTCATCTGGAGGAAGAACAGGGATGCAGAGATGAATTGACACCCCCCCAAGAAACCGACAGCACGATGTGCTCAGAAGCACAGCACCCAGGCAGCCTTTCAGAGCTGAGCCATCCAGAGAAGGGTGGATCCTTCTCTGAAGAAACTCTGCTGACCTTAGGTCCTGTCCCCAACCTGGCCTGGTTCCCCGAAGGTAGACTGGAGTGGCAGTATGGTGGGACGACAAGAGCTCAAGCTGTAAACTTGAATAAGACCTGCATCTGGATCCCAGTGCCACCACTTCTGAGCCTTTTGGAGTCTCAGTTTCTTATCTGTAAAATGGGACTAATAATATTGGTCTCACAGCATTGCTGGGAAGCTTACACACAATGCATATAAACTGCCTGCTATAACCCCATATAATAAGTGCTCAATAAAGGCAGTTCAGTTATTACTGTCATTCTTCCCTAGCATATGTTTGAAATGATTAAAACAGCAAAGTAACAACCAATATGATGTAATTGAGCTCATTTCTCATCTCATATTATTGAGCAGGTCAGTGGGAAGAAATCCAGGAGGAAGAAGGCCTTTTTAGAGGGTCCTTGTCAAATTATTCTCTCTGACACTAGGGACAAAGTGGCCCTCCCAGGGGGCCTCAGAGGAATCAAGAAAAACACTCACTCAGGTCCGCAAAGCAGCCTGCAGCAGCGAAGAGGAGGCAGGCGAGTGTGACCTTGGGCTGCTTTTCTCTCTGCGTCATCATCTTTCCACAAGGCATGCTGTGTCACAAAGGGTCCAAAGCCAATGTCTCCGAAGCCACCAGAGTCACTCAAAGGGTACCACAATCCCCTGCCACGCTCTGCTGTGAGAAAGAGAGAGAGAAAGGGCTACGGTGAGAATGCCTGGGACACCCCCATAGTGGTGACATCCGAAGTGTGGACCTGGCTGGACTTCTGGAAGACCAAGGAACACAACATGCCATTTCTTATCTAAAATAAGCTGCTTCTAAGTTGCCCCTTTGAGTTGGAAGGTGATGTCATGGTAAGAATGCCAGAGCCTTGCCTAGGGCACTCATAGCCACAAGGATAGGACAGCCTAGCAGATGGAGAAGCTGAGACCTGAAGCCATGTCCCAGGCTCAGGACAGTGAATGTTTAGCAACGATGCTGGAAAGGAGGCAGATATTTTCACCATGTTCCTGCAGGAACCCAGGTGTCCATGGCCACGTGGCACGCCATGCCACTGATACGGACCACTGTGCATAGCACTGTCACAGGTATAATGGATGAACCCTGCATCCTTCATTTAGATGATGTTACTAACACCCCCAGGTGGTGCAGTGGTAAAGAATCCACCTGCCGATGCAGGAGACATGGGTTTGATCCCTGATCTTGGAAAATCCCCTGGAGAAGGAAATGACAACCCACTCCAATATTCTTGCCTAGAAAATCCCATGGACAGAGGAAACTGGTGGCTAGAGTCCATGGGACTGCAAAAAATCAGACATGACTGAGTGACTGGTACAACTACTAGGACTAACAAGTAACATCCCTAAAGTCTCCAAGGCTCATGAAAGATCTATTTCAACTCACACCAGCTCTTCACCAACATCTCTGTCAACATTCTTTGATTCCTGGAACCAACCAACCCTCCTCAGCTTGTCTGCACCCTCAGACACAAACACAGACCAAAAAAAAAAAAATCACATATCAGCCAAGGCCCCTGTTCTCTCTGCCCCTGGTGCTGAAATTCTAGTGTTTTCCATCTCTACAAAGTTTGTACTCCTGACACTGTGTTGCACCTCCACCCAGAGCATGTCTCTGGGGTTCAGACTGCTCTGCTCCTCCAGCCATTGGATGACAGATCTCAGCTATCAGCCACTCTCTTCTTGCCTGCTAAGAATTTTAATTCCTCCTCTTCCACAATATTATTTTTCATGCCTCATTTAGGGTACAGTGTTTAAAGGATTCATCAAAATCACAGAGAGGCAAATGAATGCACACTTCTGTCACAGCCTAAACCACGATCTTGCTTCCGTGCTTTTCACTGCTCTATAAAGAACATGAGACCAATGTGGAAAGTGTGCCAACATTCTATCAGGCAGGGAGACTTCAGAGTTTCGGGTCCCCGAAGGCAGCATCACAATGACCTAGGCAGTGGATGCATCTTCCTGAATTATGCACATGTGGCAGTTTTCATAATTATTTCCAGGAGGGTGACTTAGATTCAAAGTGCTAACTCTTTTGGACCAGTTATCTAATCAGCAATTCTTTCCAAAACTTATAGTCAACAGTGAAAACTCAAGAGGGGGGTTAGGCTGCCGAACTGAGAGCTGTGTTAGCTCTGCAGTCTCTGGAGTTCTGGCTACCTGCATGGGCTGGTGTCAGAGCCCATCTTGGGCCTCTCAACCCCCATCACTCCTCACACAGGGGCTGAAGGGTGGGCTTGAGGCTCTTGCTCTGTGCTAGGAAGTACTTAAGATCTGCCTAAACCTTCCCCTTCTCCACGTTCCTCTGGTTCTTCAGCTTTTCAACTGGCTGCTGAGTGAACGGGGCTATATAGCTCTGCCCAACAAGCACCCCTCTAAGCCAGATTTTGAACCCAGCTCTCCACTGGGGTTTGCAATGTTTTCTAGGAAACAGTCCTTTCCCCTTGAGTTTTAATCCTTCCCTTTGCCTCGTATCCTTGACAGCAGAGGACACCCCCAAGTCTCCTCCACTGTTCTGGAAAAGGACAGGAACATTTTCTAAAAGAGGTTTGAAAGAAAAATATTAAACTTTTCCTGACAAGTATTTTTCTTCTAGGTGTAGAGAGAGTTTCTGCTATTTTCCAGACAATCCACTAGATCCATGCCATTAGAACAGTGAAATGAAGGAAAGTTGCTAAGGATGCGAGCATGACTGGGGAAGGCATGCCTGTTACCACTATAGGTACCTGGCTAAGCTCTTTTCATGAGGTATTCTTTTAATCTTCAGAATCACTCTATAAGATGGGGACCATTATCCCCATTTTATAGATAAGGAAATTTAGTTCCAGAGGGTAAGTAACTAGCCCAAGGTTGTATAACTGTAGGCCTGGAATGAAACCAGGTTGGGCTCATTCCAAAGTTCTGTGCTTTTAACAACAATAGTAGCCTTTTCATTTTTTTCCTACCAGCTCTCTGCATCCAGTGGGTGCTCAATGACTTGAGTCTGAACAGGATGAGGTAGAGCGATGAGGAATTTTAACAGTGTAAGATTTTAATTTTCAGATTTCTGAATCCCTGTTTGTTAAGGAAAAGTTCATTAATACAGTCACACACAAAAACCAAAAAACAAGCCTTTGGTGTCCAGATACTAGTTTTAATCATCTAGATACTAGTTTTAATTCTCTACTTTCCCGCAATGAAATAACATATTTATCTAGAATATGGCATGAGTGACCAGTTACAGGATTTTAGGGAACTTGCTTGCTCATGACCTGCCCTTTCCATACCCCAAGAAAGAAAGGGGGAAGGGAAGAAAGGAGGCAGCAGGGAGACAGAATGAAGACAAAGTAATAAAGGGCAGGAAGACGACAAGCCGACAGAGGAGGAGAGAACGGCTGTTTCTTATCCTAGTGTATGGTAGCCACGGAGGTGTTTGGGTTGTAAAGTCGACAGAGATTTTACTGAGGAAATTCAGCCTAGACCCCCTTCTGCTTAACGAGGACCAGCCAAACAATTCCTGTTACTTCTGTACCCTTCATGATTTATAAGGTTCAAAATGGAAACAGACTTCACTACTGGTGCCAGCCACACCATCCTGCTTTTAAAAGCAACGAGGAAAGAATGTAGTTGGGGAGCGAGGAGAGTGAGGAAGCAGGTTTCCAAAGAGGGAGAAAGTTGTTAACTCATGAATCCCCATGACAGGGTTGTAAGCAGGTACCCCTCAATAAGCCCAACGAGGACACGTGGGGTCTCCTTCGTGTCAAAGAGAAACTGACAACAGTATGGAGGTGGAGGGATCCCTGCAGCCTATGATGCATCTTATTCAGCAGCTGGGTAAACTGAGCTACTTCCTGGACCAAGTGACCTAGAGGGCTTGGTCTAGAAAAATAGTTGTAAAAATATAGATTTCTGAGAACTTTTTTTTTTTAATGATAAAAAAGGCAAGTGAGGCTTAACTGGAGTACCTAATTGCAGTGTAACTTTGTCCCACTGTGAAATGAACAAGGTACAATTTCAAAGTTGGGTGAAGGCAACAGTAAGGCCTGTTATTTTTCTTGGCAATACAAAGTCTGTGTAGACTGTGTGTAGACTTCTTATTTTCTCTGCATATTCTCAGGAAAAGAGAGCAAGGAAAAAAAAATCAGAAGCAGAGCGAAGGGAAAACGAATTCTTGACATGACTTCCTCACTGAGGCCTAGGTACTTTCTATTTTTAAGGGTTATTTGAACACAAAAAATAAAAGAAAATGCATCCGAGAAGATGAACTGCTGACATACATGTTCCCACTGAAATAATCTCCAAGCAGACGTTTCTGAAACTTTCCAAAAACAACAGCAGCAGAATACATGTCTAAGGTTGAGACCAAGCATGAGAAATTACAGCCTTGGAGTATTTATTTTGTGAGAGAAAATTACAAACAACCGAGAGTTGATCATCAGCTCCACCTTCTCCCAAGAGGGCCGGCGGAAGCAAGAGTGAGGCAGGGGCACCCAAGGCCACATGTCATCCCCGGTCAGCCATGCACGATAGCTCTCGCAGAGAGAAGCCTTCACCATCTAAAATGCCAAACACCCTCTATGGCTGTCCCATGACCAGTAAAAGGAGGAGTTGCACAGGAGAGCAGTAGACAACACAGAGCTTCCTTCTTTGGAAGGCAGCTGTGCTCACCACTCTACTGCCAATGCTGCATGAGAGCCTTTCTTAGAAACACGCTTTCAGGGGCAAGAATGGGATCTGACAATGTTTTGATTCCGTTGGGTGATGGGGCCTGGCTAGATGAAAAAAGGATTATTCTTGACCTGAAGTTACCTTTTTTTCTGTATGTTTGCAACTCTGGGGAGTTAAGACAGGCCTTTCCCAAGGCAGAGAGAAGTTTTGCCCTGAGAAGGTGATGCTGAGTGCCTGGAGGGTGTGGGCTGGCAGCCCTCGGTCTCAAGAAGGAGGGTGATCCTAGTGCACAGAGGAGTGACACTGGGGAAACCTTGGGCAAACAAGTGAACTGAATTCTCAGACAGCTAGATACATGGCTGTAGGCAGATCCATGAAGAACATTTAAAAAAGGGCTTTTTAAATTTTTTTTTTTAACATGAAAAGCTTTTACTCACAGATGTAACTAAAGGGAAATATTTTAAATTAGGAGGGAACTGAGGAAACGATAGGACTTCCTGGGTGGCGCTAGTGGTAAAGAACCTACCTGCCAATGCAGGAGACATAAGTGGTTTGATCCCTGGGTAGGGAAGATCCCCTGGAGGAGGGCACAGCAACCCACTCCAGTATTCTTGCCTGGAGAACCCGATGGACAGAGGAGCCTGGTGGACTACAGTCCTTAGGGTTGCAAAGAGTCAGACATGACTGAAGCAACTTAGCACACACACATGCACGAGGAAAAGATAATACCTCAGGAGAACGCCTAACAGGTATTTGGTGTTCTAAATGAGGAAAGCCAGGTGCAGAGAAGCTGATGGACAGTCTCCAACTAAGAATAGGGATCCAGGACTGCAAGTCAGGTCTCCCGACACCTAGTCCAGTGCTCTTACTATACTGACACTGCCTTCCAAAGACTTTCTGGGTCACATTAACCAGATGCTTTAA